CAGGTTTGAGGTTTGGTGTATGGCAACATTTTTGAAGAAAAAATTTTTGTTACATCTGGAAATGATGTCTGTTAAATGGCAGCAGTGCTCTTAATTGTTGTTGTTCGACATCAATTGGACAACGAAGAAAAAGTATTAGTGATTTGGCTATTGCCCAAATCTGTTAAATTATATTTAGTTGTGCCTTTAGTTGTGTACTAAAGCACGTGCTTTCTGTGTTTGATTTTTTGTATGTGTAGTTGTCATTCATTGATATTATAGGTATATTTTTGCCATGTTATTTCTCATGTATGTACATATGTATATAGTTGTTAATGTGATGTATGTATGTGTGTATTTTGTACATTTTTCAATTTATATTTTAATTACCCGTGCTAATCTGTTAATGCTTGTTATTTTATATGATTTTATCATGTTGTTATAAACGTTATCGAAGAATAAATACTGCCGAGAATTACTGGTAGACTGAAGACAATAATACCACTTCTTCCTCAACGACGTTCATCTCTAATAATGAATTATACACTGTCCCACACACTGAATTTGAAAGAATGACTAAAGGAGGTTTCAAAATTTGACGAACGTACTCAACGAAAAGCAAAATTATCAATTCAGAGAGCAATTGTGCAACTAGATCGGTGCAGGTACTTCAACTGTGAGCGTAAGAAACTATCAGAGTTGCTTGCTTCTGGTTTCATTTGCTATTTGCAAGTCATTGGAGTAAGTGATTGGAATAGAAAACCTAAACTAAAAGGTTTTCTATTGAGTGCCAGTGAAATAAGAAACGAGAAAATGAGATGGATATTGCCATACACATTTGCTGTAGGAATAAAATACTTCAAAATACGATATAATTAATCTTAGCTGTACACAGTACAAATGTTTCAGTGTACAACCGTTTCGTAGACAATTTTTCTCATTTTCACGTGTGTAATAACCCGACATTGTCATTGTTTTGAGGGCTTATTTCTACAGATATGAGTTTTTAATATGAAGGATATAAGGTTTTTAATCACTATAATGAAAACTCTGCTGTATATTTATTGCAATCAATTCTTTTTCGCTTGAGACTTCTTTAATATCAAAATCTATTCTGGTTATTTAAGTTAAAGTTTGAAATTCTTAACTTTTTCACCAATTTCACTGAGTATATTTTGCATCAGGATCTCTTAGAATCTGAAAAATCTTTCTGTCTTGCAAATTTCTCATGCTTTTGAAGTAATTCAATTCTACAACTACATTTAATTTCGAATATATTTTCATTGAAACATGTGTATGTGATTAAATGCTTGCGCTCCATCTAATGTCAGTAATGTAGTACTCAAATAATAATGTAGTACTCCAAAATGAGTGATGCACCAATCGAGAAAGGTCAGATGGATTGAAGTTATCGCCAAAATATTTATCTAACTATATGAGCATATGGATTACATTTTGAATAATCCTTTATTACACGCCAGTGTTGGCACGTGTTTTCACATCTACACGTAACGTAATTTATACTTACGGATCGAATTAATTAGCTGACTTATGTTTTTGCATTTCCAGCGGGAAAGTCTTTTTATCAGTTTAAAAATTTTTTTTTTCCTGTAGAAAACAGTTTACAATAATGATTTTTGTGCGCATTTCTTTTACTTTTCGCTAAGCAAATAAATGCTAGTTGCTTATACCATCTTTAAATGCCTTTGACTTTTAGCTGATTACAAAATTTTTAGCTCAATTTATCTCATTTTCATAAATCGGATATGGGCAGAAAATTCGTTTCAAGAAAAAAAAAGATTACATGGATTGTAATAATTTTGCTTTTTCACTAAATATTTCAACAAGAATACTGTTGATAACAAGCATTTATTTACCAAAAGTAAACATAATCGCCAATAAAAAATAATTATATCAACAAATAAGATGAATAGAGTAATAAGCAGAATTTTAAAAAATATGAAAACAAGAATATTTTTATATTTTGACCTGCATTCCAGGACTACTTTATTGCACTTCTTCCTTCTTCACCAATTATGCTTTACTGTTTTCTTAATCCTTCATCATTCATCAGTTCGGTACTTTGTATTTTCTCATTATTTTCCTGCACATAATTTGCATTTTCAATCTTCTGAAGTGTCGTTGCCGATGTTTTCTCTTTGCACATTGAATTACTTTTACTTTTACTCAGTAACTGGTCTGGGCTTTTGGATTCTAATTTCATCTCTTTGCTATTTACTTTGGTCTGAAAATTTTTTACTAGTTCAATCTTGATGAGACGAATGATAAACTTATTTGACATGCAAAAAACAAATATGTTATGTGTAATAAGTCTTTTTTACTTTACTATGCGTATTGACTGATTTCACTGTAACTGTTTCAAACGTTGACTGATCCGTGGAAATGAGTGTGGCATACAAAGGATCGTTAGCAGCAGCTTTTACACTTTTAATCTGGCGAGAAGCATATCTTGAAAAATAATATGAAATTTCAGTAAAATAGATAAACAAACGTGAAACGGAAAATCCAACTGCAGTTGGTATAAATTGAAAATGCATTTACTGCAGTTTGAATTTTTAAAAAGGTATGAAAATGCTATAAAGATGTGATAAATTAGCAATACTAAAGTAAATTTTGAATGTTAATTTTTTCTCAATTTAATATTAAAATTGTTATGCGACATATTTTCATTTAGCAGTGCTTACAAATCGAATCATCTTTCTTATACTAAACTAATTAGGCCAATGTAGATACTTTCTTTTTGGTTGAATAGTCAAAGTTTCTTGCTTTGATTCTTTTTCATTATATTGCATATTCATTGTTAGATTTTGCGATCCAATCTAAAATTGGTTGAGCTTTTGGGAATAGTTTAATTTCAATTTATTCAGTCTTAATTAGATTTCTTTTTTTTAAGATCCTTCATTAAGATCTTTTGCTTTGCAAAACTCTGACTCTCGCAAGTTTTGTTTGTGAAACCTGATAGGATATAGTTGGTACTTCTCGAATTGTTCGCACATTACCATGAGCCAATATTGTTTTATTTCCAGCTGCTTTGCCTGGCGGGAAGTTAGTTTGAAATTCAGTGCTTGAATTTTCCGATGTTTGACAGTTTTGAGTGTAATCAACTGGCAAAATGTTTGCATCATTATTTTTCGTCCTAAAATAAATAATTGGTTACTAATCGTCTTGAGTACAAATGTTACTCAATATATGAATTTAAACTTTCAAATCAATGCAAATATATTAACCCACTTCAATTTAATAAACGTTTTTATTGAAATTTGCATTAAAATATTGTTTCTTCATCTGGGAGGCAACTATTTCCATGAATTATTTCTAAGATCGTATGAATTTATTATTTAGAATATTGTTCACTTCACTAACTGATTTCAAAACAAATTACAAGTCTGATTTATATTGAAGATTCTTTCTCGATATTATGAACTAATTCGCATGCATAATTTTAAATTCAGCTTTACTCTTTCATTTTAATCTAATAAAGATTACACAAAGACTAAAAACTAATTACAATTAAATCAAAGTTTTTACCGTAATTTTAATTTTTTCCGATCTAATTCTTGTTCAATTTTATTTATTATATTCGATTTCTGTAAAATACTTTTCAATGTTATTTTTTCGCATGATTCTATACATTACTAACGAGTGATTATTGATGCTATACTTGATTGCTGAATCACATAGATGGACATATTTGTAATCTGTGCTCTTAAAAAAGTAACAGTTTTTTGAAACTAATATTTAGAATGCATACTTTTGATTTTGACTCTTTCTGGATTTCCTGAAATAGATAAAATTCCATAAGAATTTCTTTTTCTTTACTGCTGGTAGGTAACCTCGATTAGAAAAATAACATGAGAAACAAATCTTTAGATGAAAAAGAACGAATCTTCAATAACTAACTGCTAAATTGTAATTATTTGGTGTCGATTTTTTACAGCAGCATATGATGTATAGCTTCTTCTATAATTTTGCAACAAATATAGCACTATTTTCAGTAATCAGTATTTATCTTTCAAAGATGAAAATTAAAAATATCTCAAGAAAAACTAATATTTTGATTTAAATAAAAATGGGAATGATCTTTGTTAACTGTAGCAATGACGTGAAATCAAGAATAATTAGTCTCTGAAGCTGAAATTTTCCCTCCAAACTAATTACTTCTTCGATAGAGATAATGTTTAAAATTTAACCACTTTAGCAACTTCTTATTATCAATAGAAGGTGTTAGAGAGGAAGTATCGAAAAATAGAAAAATAGAGCAAGCATCAAACATTTTGCTATTAATTACCACTTGCATATCACAACACAAACCATTACTCGACACAAACAGTTTTTTTTGATGGTATGTTCAGTTGTTCTTGAAGCTTTCCCAATTTTCAAATTACTTTCTTTCGACGTTATTTTAGTCTTTTTTGAATTTGATAAGTTGTTCGTAGCTTGTATTGATGCGTTTCTTAGAAACAACATCTTACCTTCTTCATTCTTCGAGTGATTACTTGAATCATTCATATTTGAGCACTGCAACGACTTTTCCACGTTACATATACTAATATGTAAGGAGAAATAAGCAACTGATTTAATAAACTTGAAAACTGAGTATAAGAACTGAATATAAACTATTCAAAAGCAATAATTAAAAACAATTGAACAGACATATACGAAATTACTCACTCAAAGGCTGAAGAGATTAAAAGCACTGAAGTCGACCTTTTAAGATGATATAAAAAAGTAAAATGACTTTTACTGCTGAATTCCATATCTTTAAATAACAAACCTGTAGTTCTTACACTCAGTTACTATCTGTTCTTTGATTTCGAATTCAGCTACACCCTAAAATTGATATTTTTGAATGAAATATCAAATTTTCTCCTAAATTTGAATAAATAATTTGGTTAAATAAGTAAATAAATAAACAGATTAATTAATTAATTGCAAGTACACATCAGAGGCAGTGATTGTATGATTGAGACTGTAATAACAAAGCTCGATTAACATATTCAACTCTGTTGTTTTAGACTAAAATATGAAAATTTAAATTTATTTTAATATCATATGTAAATATGAGACATAAATATGTCATAAAGTACTCAGCTCTGCGCTTTATCGTTGCATGAATACGTGTTAATATTAATTCAATTATACGTGTCTCCCATACGTCGTGTTTTTCTGTATCTTGTAAGTTCTCATCATTCCTGTTAACCATATTCTAATACTTGTGATTCAGATAGAAAGTTCCATAATTATCAGTCTGGATTCACTTTAACGGCTTTTATGAAGTGTGGTAATCTCGTTATTCTCGGATAAATTATTCACTGTTACATTGACACATAAGGTAAATTTAAGCGAGTAAGATGGAGAAAGAGGATCTGCTTTATTGCTATAATAAAGGATGTGGTCTGAAATTTGATCCTTCTGACAATAATGATGGTAAAGTAATTTATTAATTATTGTATTAATGCGATTGATGTCAGTATTATTTGATGCATTGAAATTGCTCTCTTTGTAATCATTCTTGCGCAGTATTTTTTCGACAACTGATTTTTCATATGTTGTTTATAATTAGATATATATATATGATATTTAAGAGATTATTTTCACTGATACTTTGTAAAGAAAAATAGTGAAAGAACATGGCTATTTAAAAAATAATTATGATGTTTTAATGCATTACGCGTTCAATTTTTAAGTTTTCTGCAGCATTAAACGTAACAGTTGATTACTTGCCATTCTATTAAGACATGAGAATTAATATGCAGTAATCAAAAGTTATGCTAAATAGCAAACTTTTAAAGTTTTTTTTAAACTTACAATTTGCTTGTTTATTCATTTTCACCTGTATAGATGATTCTTAATTAGGTGCTGAAGAATAAATTTAAAATTGTCCCCTTGTTTTTAATGTTTTACACTTGTGAAGAACTAATATTCAAAAAAATAAATGAATTCGGATATAAGTTGCAAATTTTTCTGTACATTTTTAGTTCTCATTTTAAAATAATATCACAATTTTGTCTGTTGATTACCATTTCTCTAATTATTCCTGGTTAGCGATGTAATTAGACATGTATATGTATCTTTCAGAATCATGTTTATATCATCCTGGAGCACCATATTTTCATGACGCATATAAAATATGGAATTGTTGCAATAAGAAAAGTACTGATTTTGGCACATGGTTAAGCTTAAAAGGCTGCACTCGAGGAAAGCATAGTAGTGTGAAACCTGCACAAGAAGTGAAACATCAGAAATCAGAAGAAATGGATGAATCATATGTACAGAAAGAGGTATATTAAAGTAAAATTTTCTGTATTGAGGGACAGTAACTACTTTTAGTCGCAATCTAATTTCGGTTTGTATAAATATTAAACTGTGAACTTTCAAACAAGAATCTTAATACGTATTTTATAGATTTATGTTTAATCTGTCAGACGTGGAATAACTTTTTTGTTATTCAATTCATTTGATTTGTGTGTGACAAAATCTATTGGTTGTAGTCGATCAACTTTCTGTGTTATTGAGTTAGAACACTGTAGCTGCATTATCTGTAAATCATGGGTTTTCAAGTTGTGTGAACGTATTTGCTAGATTTAATTTTCTTTTGTGCAAATTATGTTGTGGTGCTCGAATGTGTACTTGCTCTAAACATCTTCAGATGTCACTGAGAACTAATATGAATGGAACATAACACTGCAGGTGATCGTTTGGAATGGTTTGAATAAACCAGCTGCTCGACAGAATTATTCAGCGGTGATGAGACCGTTAAAACTTGAACCAACTATGGCTGCATTAAGAGCTATCGAAAAATTTCAGTCAGAGAAGGTCCAAGAATCAGAGCCAAGCATTCGTATCGGTGCATTGTGCAGAAATCCTGGCTGTGAAAAGGTATGGTTCTTGAAATTGTCTGCTTTCTCTTCATTCGTTAAATTCTTATTCTGAACAATGCGAACGGGCTATTTTTTGTATTATTAAGAACTAGGATGGTTCTTGCAGAGCATCGTTGTGCATCTGAATTATGTTTTATGCAGTTGAAATTTTGTAAGTGTTTCAGTCTTTTAGGCTTATGAAGGAGAAAAAAGCCATGATGAGACTTGTGTTTATCATAATGGTATCGCTGTATTTCACGAAGGTATGAAGTATTGGTCATGCTGTGAAAAGAAAACTACGGATTTCAGCACATTTCTTGAACAAAGAGGCTGTGTAGTAGGAAAGCATTGTTGGATTAAGGTACAGGCACTGGGTATTTCAGTTTGTATTCATAAAAGTTATGTTAGAATTGAAATGTTAGAATTTGAAAGTTTTTCTCTGCTCTGTATATGGTGAAAGCTTTTGGTTTTCGGATAAACATTAATCCTATTTTATTCAATTTTTTGAGGCAGAACGAGTTGAAAAAATTCGAGAAGACTGGTTTAGTGGAGGTGGCTACATTCATTTAAACATTTATTGTCGGGGTGCCATACCGGAGCTGTGTGTGGTGGAATGTAACGGTATTATATTGCAAATGAAAATTATGCATGGTTTTGGAGTAAAAGAAACACATTTAAATTATGAACTTTTTGGTAGGATCGATGTCGATGGATCCAAAGTATGTCATATTGTTATATAATCCATTTTCTTCTATTTTTATTTTGAAGATAAAGTTTGATGCACCTGATTTTCTCAGGTTTATCACAGATGTCACAAATTTGCTTTTTCACAGCTCTACAACACCTGTGGGGTCATCATTTTTTAGGTGATCGTCGGCGAAAGAAAATTAGAATTGGTTCTGAAGCAAGATGATACCGTCAGTTGGCCACGGTTAACATATTCTGAGAATTCAGAATCACAGACTGATTAAGTTTGTCAATGTACTTATTACTAAATTCTTTTAATCGTTTGTTGTGAAACATGAAAGTAGCTGTAGAAGTGAAGTTACAATATTTAAATGATTTAGTGCGAGGATTTGTATTCTCAGGTTTTATTCGTTACGATGTGACAGTTCAAATTTAAGAAATGAAGTAACGGGTTATTTTTAAAAAAAAATATAATTCTTTCATTTCATGTAAAGCATTGTCATTTGTGTCAGTAGTAATACTGTATTTTTTTAAAAATCTTGTGATCTTAATGTTTACCATGTATTAGTTTTTGGTTGTGTGAATTCGACAAACTCAAACACTCTTGAGGAGGTTTTTACTATTTTTATGTGAAATATAGTAGTTGTTGTCGCATTAACATTCAAGTGTTACTCCCTAATTATACATAGTAATGTTATGGATTTTTATGAAATGAAGTGTTCACATTTCATAGAGTCACTGTGTCGTACTCAGAATATGTATTGCTAAAACAAGTCTTATTACAGTCTCAACTTATAAGACGCTAAACTTAAGTGTGTACCGGTGAGATTGTCTTATTATATCAAAATTTCACATTTAGATTTCAATAGGTAAAATAGATTGTTTTCGTGATCATTTACCAAAGTTTCTAATGCTGCAGTCACAAAAGTAGTGTGACTTACTATTTGTTACACTATAATATTTAGAAACATCGTTTGTCAGTTTGAGTACTTTTCGGTTATGCCTTTTGAGTCGCAATTTTACGGTGTCGTAGCTACTAGTTTGAAATCACATTCTGTTGACTGCGGTCATTTTCCAGAATTGGAATGCAGAGACGGCTGGACAGTTTAAAGTTGCTGCATTCTGTCGAGGCAATTTATACGGGGGGAACGATTCAGTGGAGTTCGGATGGCAAGGCTTTGTTCTCTTCATGTGGTAACCACATAAAGGTGTCATGTATTGAGAATAAAGAACAGAGGTAAATTTCTGCATCAATAATTTGGGTCCGGGTTTGTATCTTATTAATGGTCTTGCAAAGTCGTAATCTACTCATTCTTTTTGTTGTCGAGGAGCATTAATCGTTTTGCTTGAGGTTTTTAGTTGGATAGGAGTCAAACTGATTAATGATGGGTTTCAGTGTCATTTATTTCTCTTTTCTGGAAAAGCTTAGGCTTCAGTATTGTGTTTTAATTACTGTCTAGTAATATATCACTGGATGAAGCATTCCAGTTACAAAATTGGAGATGAAGATGACCCTCTGAGAGCATCAACTTTCTTGCTAAATGAGAAGTGTGGCTCTATTATTGTTGCTTATACCAATGGTCTTTTGCGGATTTATCGCATCCCTTTATCAAAAATTGTTTTTGAAGAAACAAACCTGGAGATTCTTCGGCAATGGAAATCTACTCACACTGCACCAGTTCTAATCATGAAATTTTCCGAGGATAACACATTGCTTGCTACTGGATCAGCTGATTTTAGTGTGAAGGTGAGTTTAAATGACTTTCCTATTATTGAAAGAAGCAATATTATGAATATCAGGTGTGTATTAGTGTGTCTAGATATATTTGAGGCCAGATATGCATATATTAGACTTGTAAATGAATGGCTTGAATTTTGGTGCTATATTGTAGATTTGGAATATTGAAGAACGTAGTTGTGTTGGCTCGCTCAAAGGTGTTAGTGCTGTTAGCGCTGTACAGTTTCTTCCTGATTCGCGTGTCATTGTTGGCTATGCAGATGGCAAGGCATCGTTATTTAATTTGAACAGCGCCAAGAAACTAGCTTTTCAATGGAATAATCATATAAGGTTGAAGTATAAATCAGCTGTATCCATTACAATTTATGGCAAATTTCAAATTGTTCATTATGCCTTATTTTCGTTTAAAAAAATTTTCAAATCATTTCTACTTTTTTTTCAAATTTGAAATTCAAGTCACTCCTATTATCCTTTCTAATTTCAGTCAGATTGTAAATATTATTGTTCGACAACTACCGGAAGTAATACTTTTGAGCCGTGATCAAACGTTCTCTATTATTAATATAGATACTTATCAAAAAATTAGTGTTCTTCCTTTGTTCGAACCCATAGAATCAGCAGTTATTGCATCTGAACTGTTATTCACTGTGGGAGAGGAAGGTGTTTTAAAATGTTGGAATTTGGATAATGCGAAACTATTGAAGTCTGCTAATATATCCAGGTTAAAGATATTTGATCATGATTTAGCATAGTTCAGTTTCATTACTCTAAACTTCTTTTTTACTTAACTTTTAAAATCCGATTCAGGTCATGTTTTCTCGATTTCATTCGTCTTCCTCAAATCTTTTGCTTCAATAAATTTTAGATCGCGAATCGACATTATTCTCTACAACTCTACTTGTGAAAAATTCCTTCTAGCTACCTCAGACTATAATGTTTTTCTGGTAGATAGAAAGACATTCAAAATTGATCGGCAGTTTGTTGGTTTTAACGAAGAAATTTTCGATATATGCTTCATTGGGCCGAAATCGGAATATTTGGTTGTAGCTACCAATAGTGCTGATTTACGTTTGTATGATACGAGAACATGGTCTTGCCATCTAATTACTGGTTTGTATGCAAAGTGTACCAATATATTGCTGTTTAAATTATCTTTTGTTGTATACCAGACTGTAAATTACGGGTAATGTGACTTCGGCAAAAATTTTCACTGCTTTTTGAAATAGCCATAAAAATTTTGGTTTGAAAATTGTAGGACATATGGATAGCGTACTATCACTTTCGAATCTCTCATGCGATCCAGAAGTTTTCGCAAGTTCTTCCAAAGATAATACTTTCATAATATGGCATGTCAGTCTGAACAGTGATGAAAAAAATGTTAAAAAGGTAAGCCAGTTCAACGTTACTTTGTAATCGTGAGTTTTATTGCCTATATGAAAGGAATTGTTTTAGATAGCAGTAGCTACTGGACATACAAATGATGTCACTCGTATTCGATGTTCCAACAGTTCAAAGCATCACTTTATTGTTTCTGTATCTAATGATACTACTATAAAATTGTGGCCGGTGAAAAATTTAAAGGAGAGAGAGGAAGAGTATGTTGTACTAGTTATGATCAATTATTGTGAAAAATAGTCCGGATGTATAGATTTTTACTCAGTAATGATGCTAACCTTCAGATTTCTTTTGTGGCGCAAAATGTACAAAATGTCGTTTATTTGTTTTTAGCATTAAACTTGAGTCATCGGCGACTTTGGTTGCTCATGCAAAGGATATAACGTGCTTAGATATTAGTTTGAATGATCGGTTATGTGTCACGGGTTCAATGGATAAGACAGCTAAATTATGGCATATTGACACAACTAAAATGCATTTTACTATTGGTGGCGCGCTGAATGGTCATCGTCGTGGCGTTTGCGATGCTCGTTTTTCGTCTAATACTCAGGTGCATATTTACTCATTCTGCTTTATTAGTTTGGTTATTTTTCTGTCTTTTTTTAATTTTTTGTGACAAGTGTTAAATTTCTAAATATAAAGAGTAGATTTTTTGACTTTGTAGACAGTGGTAACATGTAGTGGTGATTGTTTGATCAGAATATTTTCACTGCCAAGCCGTGATTGCATCGCTACTTTAGCTGGACATCCATCCGCAGTATTAAATGTATTTTTTCCATTTATAAGTTTAAAAAGAACTATAATTCAATAAAATTTTGAAACTTGTTTAAGTTCGATTTTTGTGTTTACTGTTGATTTTATGCCATTGTTTTATGGAGCGGTTTTTTAGGGTATACTAGTGAATAATGGTAAGCAAATAGTTTCTGGAGATAGTGGCGGCTTGCTCAAAATATGGGATATATCAGCTAATGAATGTGTTGCTACACTAGAAGCTCATGATGAAAAAATATGGGCTTTACAAGTGACAGACAATGAAAACCGATTTGTTACCGGTATTTGTTTTTTTCGTTTTGTTATTATTTCATTTTGCTAAGCTTTCAGTTGCTTTATAATTAGCTGATTACTTTTTTTTTTCAATTTTTAACTGCTGTATGTGTCTTCTTGTTAAGCCAGCAGTGATGGGCGAATAAGAATTTGGGAAGATATTTCCGAAAGAAAGCGTGAAGAGGAAGAACAAAGTCGCTCAGAAAAAGCTCGAAATGAACAAGTTATGACTAACCTTATGCAACAAAATCGTTATGCAGAAGCTTTGGCGTTTTCACTGACACTGTCAAGGCCATATGCGTGAGTTCACTTTATGGCTCGTAATGATCGTAAATAATTTCACTCTGTCCAATAAATGATTTCAGAGACATTCTGGATTTATTTTGTTCACTCTTTAAGTTCTGTATTTTTTATATCTAAAGAGATTATGCTGTTTTATTTCATATTATTTTTATTCCGCAGTCATTTTTTGTTCAGTAGTGAAATGATTTCGAATTTCATTTGTTTCAAGGTGATAGAAATTTTCAGGAAGCTGAAAGGTTTCTTATTTAGATGTTGTATAATGCGCTTTTCTTTAATCCTCAAGAATTATTATTACTTGCACTGTGACTAGGTACTGTTATTTCTTGGTCGCTTTCACTTGCAGATGCTTCCAAATAGTGCAGAAAATGGTGGAGCTTGACTCCGATGACTTCAAAGATGCCATCGAGAAACTAGGATCGGAAGAGTTGATAATGCTTTTGAACTTTGCAGCTCAGTGGAATACAAACAGTCGAACAGCGGATGTAAGCTTTTCTATAGGTGTCGTTGAATTGCTTCTTTTAGTACTCTATATATATATTTCTGATCATTGAAAAATTATTCTTTAGTGTGCTCATTTTTTATGTGTCTGTTATTACTATCATACGAATAATAGTTCAGAATGCATTTTATATAGTTTTACTTGGGCTCTAGGCTGTATTTAAAGGTAAATTCTGTAACACAGCTGAGGATATGTAATAGTAATTATAGAATAATTTAACTTTGTTATAAATTGTTTTAGGTTGCACAGAGAGTCTTATATTGTGTTCTGCATTCGTATTCTCCCGAAGATTTGTTGAAATTGCCAAACTTTGCATCAGTTGTAGAAGCTTATATCCCATATACATCCAGGCAAGTTTCCTTTTAGTTCATTTATGTTTTCTAAGCTTGTGTACTATTTTTAATCTTTTTTAAGTGCCATTTGCTATGACTTATATTCAGTATATCTAAGTTTTTTTTTGTCTCGCGTTTTTTGGTAGCCTGAAATGTTTTAGAAAGTGTAAAAGTTTGATTTAGTATCATATCGTTCGAAATAAAAGTTATTGTATTCGCATTTTCAGGCACTTTGATCGTTTAACAAGAGCCAAACAAAATGCTGCATTTCTAAACTATACTGTAGCTCAGATGACGCTTTCAGACTCGTAAATGACTCTT